GTTAAGAGCATTAGTTACTCTTGCAGATAACCTAGGTTCAGTTCCTAGCACCCACATGGTGGCTCACAACCGTGACTCCAGTTCCAGAAGATCTGATGCCCTCTTCTGGCCTCTGTGGTCATTGCGAGCATGGATGCACTTAACATTTGAATGAAACACTCACACATAAAAATAAAAAGATAAATTGAAAAAGAGAAAAAGACAGCTGAAAGAATGGATACGCCCCAGTTTGCTGTTTATTAGAACTTCTAAGTATGGCACATCTTTGACTCATGTATTTTTAGTAATTCTTGTTCCTAACAAGACATTTCTCAGTGCAAGTTTCATGTCCTTATTACGAAGACTATAGATTAGAGGATTAAAGAGAGGAGTCATTACTGAATACACTAATGTGAGGACCTTCTGCATCAAAGTTGGGATGCCATATGTAGGACTCACATACATTACCATGACTGTCCCGTAGAACAGAGATACCACAACCAAATGGGAACAGCAGGTGGAGAAGGCCTTTTGGCGGCCAGCTGCAGAAGGAATCCGAAAGACAGTTCTGAGCAACAAAATATAGGATCGAAGAATGTACATAATGGTGAAAAAGAGGACAAAGGAACTCTGGGCATAAAAAACAATTTCAGTAATAGGAGCAGGGGCACAGGACAGAGCCATCAATGGGTCCATGTCACACAGGAAGTGGTCAATGATATTAGAACTACAGAAGGGGAGCTGGGAGATGAAGAAAATGGGGACTGGGTATCCGAGGAATCCAATGAACCAGCATGAAGACAACAGTATGCTGCAGAACCTCTCGGTCATGATGGTATGGTAGTGTAGTGGGCGGCAAATGGCCAGGTACCGATCATAAGCCATCACTGCCAGGAAGAGACATTCAGTTGTACCCAATGAAAAGAAGAAATAGAACTGGAGGAAGCACCCTGAGAATGAGATGGCCTTAGTCTTAGAGAGAATGTTGGCCAGCATGTTAGGAACAGTGGAGGAAACGTAACAGATTTCAAGGAAGGCAAAATTCCCCAGGAGAAAGTACATGGGGGTGTGGAGTCGAGAGTCACATCTTACTGCACAGATGATGGCTGCATTTCCCAGTAAGGTCAAGACATAAACCACCAAAAACATCAAGAAGAGGAAAATTTGTATCTTCCAGGAACCAGGGAATCCTAGGAGAACAAACTCAGTCACAACATGTGTAGATCTGTTCATGGGACCTAAATACATGAAGAAGAAAGACCTGAGTTTAACCCCAATTTCCTTGCTTTTAATATATTGCAAGATTGTTTGAAAAGCAAATAATCTATACAAGAAAAGGCATGAATATTTTGACAACAGGTAGAAACCATTCTTATTTGGAATTGATTTTGATCCTATACCAGTGACTTCACCTATTTCTTCTCCCACTGGTCGTTCTGTGATGGGAAGCAGAGGAGACCTAGGCACTTAGGGACAGGCCCCTAGTGAAGGACCTGGGCATCTAGACAAATAACTACTTTGTGGCTACTGGATCCTAGCCTGAATGGCCTTTGGCTAAACTCATGAGTCCATGTCAGGGAGTGCGGAGCCTGAGGGAAGTGCGTCATCTTGTACTTGGGGGAAGAGATCAATCACCCTCTACCTCACTATTATCAAAACACCAAGACCCGGCCTCTTGAGCAGTTTTTCACTCTTGCAGTCTCTTTGATCTGTGGGAGTTTCTCTTCTTTGGCTCTATATTAAACTTGCTGGTTGATGTTCTCTCTTGAGTCTGGAAATGTCATTTAACTTAGGGAGACACAAACCTGAGTTTGAGAAATGTGGAAGCAGTTTGGGCTGCTTGCCCAGGACAGGATTTCACAGACCACATAAAAATGTGTGGCCAGGGTAGTACAAGAGACCCCCCAAATTACACATGCTATTGCCACAGTCCTTGATTGCTTCCCAGAACTTGATGGTAAGACCCTATTGATGAAGACACGTCATACTTTGGACACAGGATTTGGAGCAATGGAGCTGGAACTGACCTGGA